AAAGAAAGAAAGAAAGAAAGAAAGAAAGAAAGAAAGAAAGAAAGAAAAAAAGAAAGAGAAAACTTCTTAGAACTGAGGAGGGAAGGAAAGGAAACGGTGAATGGATCCTAACAGCTGAAAGATGCTGCAAGTGTCAGGAGTTAGGGTTCACTAGTTTCTGGTCATTGGGTAGGAAAATTATATGAGAAGAATGTAGAATTCTGTCTAGAATTTAAATTATTGCTTAGGCACTTTTTGACTTACTATGTTGAGCCATCTCTCATCGTTCTAGATCCAAAGTTTTCTGAGTGAAGCAAAGATTTCTCACCTCTACAGGGTTAATTCTAATGGAGGACATGCAAATAAACCTAATAGCAGACATCTGTATGCTGTGAATTATAAGGTGATATGTGACCTAGATGGAGACTATATAAACAGACTATATAACTATATAAACAGAGGCTTGAAGGCTGTTGGACCAGGCACAGTAGTCAGGATAGGCCCCATGGGGAAGAGGAAGTTTAAATAAAACTAGAAGTAGTGAGAATATCCTGGCGGGAATTCCAGTGTGAGCAGATTGATAAGCACCATTCCTCAAGCCAGAAGCATAGTAAAGGCTTATGTTAGTGGATCCTGTGATCTGGGAAGATGAGGAAGTTGTGAATCAGAGGGACCTGTGAGGTGGTATAAATACTGTGGCTCTTACGTAAGTTAAATGGACCAGCACAGGGTTTTAAACAGGAAAGTAACATGGAACACCATAGATTTTAAAGGATAATTCTATGTTGGAAGTAGACTCAAGAACACCAAAGTTAGCAACAAGGACCTCTATATGGAAGGTTCTGTTTCACTCCATGTGAGAGATAATGGTGACTTGGACCCAGGTGGCAACAAGAGTAGCCACAGGAAGAGACAAAATTTGGGATACATTTTAATGGTAGAGCCAACTGCGTTTCCTGATTGGATGTTACATTTTCACTCTACATGGAATGTGGAGGGAGAGAGAGATGAATTGGGTGAAACTGGGTTTTGGCATGGACAACTGAGAGGTAGAGCAAGGCAGCGGTTTTGGTTTTTTTGCAGACATTGCATTGGGCATTGTCACACACCCAAGTAGAAAGGTGAGAGTTGTAGTTGGATATTTGACACTAGGGTTCGCAGACGAGTCAGAGAGATTCCTATGTCCTTAGAACATAGTAGTTAAGCCATGAGAGTGATATGGAAAAATGACTGAGGAGAAAAGTAAAGGATGAGCTCTAAGCTTCGGTTTGAGAGTTCACAGACAGCTGGTAACACCATTTTGGGAGGTTCTGGGATATTTAGGTGAAGGGACTCAGCTAGAAATAGTAGAAGAGGTGAGAGGTCCTTGAGGGTACCCTGTCCTCTATCCCCCTTCATGTCTTTCTCTGATTTGTGCCCACACTGAGGATGTAGCTCCCCACATGTTCCCGCTACCACATCATTTAGTTCCAGTTCACAGGGTCAAGACATCAGGAACTGAACCCTCTGAAACTAGGAGTCAATTAAAGGCATTGTTCTTGAGCTATTTATGTCATGTATTTTTGCCCCTAGCATGAAAAGTGATCTAATTGTTCTTTCCAGATATTTCCCACACTCCATTCTTAGTCAACTGCTAGCCTACTTTTTGTCCTTATACTTTTGCTTTTCTGGATATTTCAGAAACAAAGAATCATAACATGGTATGTGGCTGCTTTCACTCAGGCTGATGTTTACAAGGTCCATTCGTGTTTTGTATCAGTGCTGAATGCCCTTTTTGACGCTGAGTAATATCTCATTGTGTTGGTATACCACATTTTATTTATCCACTAGTCAACATGCAGACATTTGAGTTGCTTCTTTCCATTCAGGATCAAAATAAATAGTGCCACTTTGGATATTTCTAAGTTTTACTGGGAACATATATCCAATTCTCTCTCCCTTTGAGACAGGGTTTCCCTCTGTGTAGCCCTGGCTGTCCTAGAACTTGCTCTGTAAACCAGATTCCCCTCAAACTCAGAGATCCACCTGCCTCTGCCTGTGGAGTATTGGAATTAAATAGATATATCTCCACTGCCCTGCTATGCATTTCTCTTGAGTGTAGGAGTCAAATTCATGGGTCATATGGTAAGATTTTTTTCTTTTTATTGAAACTAGATTTTTTTCTCAAATAGTATATCTTAATTACAGTTTCTCCTCCCTCTACTCCTACTTAATAAACCCCCTTGCATCCAGATCTGTCCCTTTCTGTCTATCATTAGAAAACAAACACGCTTCTAAGGGATAATGAATTATATAATAAAATAAAATAAGATAAACACTAACAAATTGGTATTGGGCAAAACTACAAACAGAAAGAAAATAGCTCAAGAAAAGGCATAAGAAATGGAGACCCATTTGTTGGCACACTTAGGAATCCCTTTGCACACTAAACTGAAAGCCTTAATATTTTGCAGAGGACCAGTGCTGACTTATGCAGGTGTTGTGCATGCATCTCAGGCTTTGTGTGTTCAAATGAGCTTTGATTGTGCTAGTTTAGAGGACCTTGTTTTCTTGATGTCCTCCATCCCCTCTGGCTTTTATATTCTTTCTGTCTCTTCTTCCACACAGTTCCCTGAGCTCTGAAGAAAGGAATTTGGAGAGACATTGGCATCCAAAGTTGACTAAGTGTTCCAAGTTCTTTCATTCTCTCCATAATGTCTATCTGTGACTCTCAGTATTTGCTGCAGGACTTAGCTTTTCTTCTGGCGGCTGAGCAAGACACTGATCCATGAATATAGCAGAATGCCATTAGGAGTCATTTTATTGCTACTTTGTTGTTGTTGTTGGTGGTGGTGGTGGTTTTTTGTTTATTTGAATGGTAGTATTTGGTTTTGCTAAGTCTGTGGGCTATCTAGTCACAGGTTCATGGTCAAATAAGCAGTGTCCGTTATGGATTCCATCTTGTGGAGTGGGACTTTAGTCAAATCAGGTATTGATTGGTTATTGAGATGGTATGAATAAAAATGGCCCCCATAGACTCATATTTGAATGCTTGGTCACCGGGGAATGACACTACTTGTTGGAGGAAGTGTGTCATTGTGGGGTGGGCTTTGGGGTTTCAAATAC